TGAGCAACGCAATAAGTTACGCAGCTCCAAAGTCGTGGACGAGCTGGTGACACTGCTGCTGGCCAAGCAGGAGAGCAAGGATCATGTACACAACAATGACAACAACACTCTCTCAACGACTACTCCAATGTCTGCGCCCCAGCCAACTCCACGCAACGTCTACCAGGGCGACGAAGACCGTAGCGAGCTCCACATCGTCTTCAGTATGAGCTGCGACCAAGGCCGACGTGTGCCGCTGCAGACCATCCTACAGTACTCGGCTGTTGCTGTGGGTCAGCGTGGCCCAATAACGCAAATTCTTTCAGGCTGCACAGACTCCCAGCGCGAGGAAGTCATGCGGGAGCCTACACTATACTATGACTTCCGCAGACACTTCACACCGTCGTACTCGCCTCATCCAACGCCTAATGTCACCGACTACTACACTCCATACAATAAGCCATTCGCCCTGCGCCACTTTCTGCGGAACGCACAGCCACCTGTGAAACACGATATCATCGCGCTCATCGACGGAGATATGGTCTTCTTCAAGCCACTGGAGGTGAATACAGGTCGGAATATGACCAAATACTACCATGGGAAACGACATTTGTCCACCGTGAACGACACAGTAGCCGACGGCGTTGCTATTGCACAGGACTGGTACAATTACTTGAACATTGGCTGGTATGCTGATGCTTATAGAGCGAAACTGGAGGCCATTTGCACTGGGAAGCCTTGCATGAACGTGACGCGTAATGATGCACGAGAATATTACTCAAGCACAGGACCTCCATACATCATGACTCGACATGATATGGAGCTCATGGTCGATGACTACTGCGACTTTGTCGTGCAAGGTCGTCGAGTGGATGATGCCTGGATGGTCGAGATGTTCGCGTACACACTGGCTGTGGCCAACCACGGAATCAAACACACTTTGTTAACGAATTTGGGAGCGACACACCCCAAACTTGCACTGAATCAGCGAGAATACTGGGATTTTGTAGACGAAACATTGCCCAATCCATGTGAAGATTCCAGTGCGGTAGTGATGCCGTCCGATCCGCCTGTAGGCATCCACTACTGCCAGAAGTATGGCTTCGTCGAAGGTTACCACAAAGGTCACTATTACTACAAGTACGACCTGCCAGAGACGCTTGTGAACTGCGATAGTCCGTTGCTCAAGGTGCCACCTGCATCGGATTGGGATACACTGGAGCAAACGACGCCACGTGAATTACTCGTGCAAAAGCGGCACGAAGTCTGGATCGAGTGTTCCACCACCAAAGTAGTTAACCAAGCCATGATCAAGTATAAGCAGCGCTCCTGTTCCAACGGCTACAGCACAGAGCAGAGCATCGAGATGGTCAAACTGTAGAACAACTCTTTACACCAAGAACAAGGTCAATAGAATAGCAAACCAGCCTGACGCAGATACGATCAATGAGTTTGAATTGAGGGTTCCAACGAAGATCAAGGACGACAACCTTACGAGTCGACGAGATGTGCTTACAGCAAGCCTTGGCGAGCCAGATCCTCGTACGTCTTTCTGTTCAGCACGTTACCTTCCGAGTCCTCGAATTCCTCCTCATTCGACGCATTCCAGCTCTCAGCGTCGATCTGATCTTTCAACTTCTCGTAAACTATTCAAACAAACAACACCGTCAGCTCAGTCAAAGACACAATATCAACGATAAAGCAGGACTTACGCTGGATAGCGTCTCTCATGAGCGTGATATCGTGGAAATGCTTCGTGTTGGGGATCTTCAGACAGCGCATACCAAAGGCATGACGCCATTCCTGGAAGTGTCGATCGAATGCACGTCGTCCCCAGTAGCTGTGGTTGCCGCAGATCTCGCACTTGTACTCCACTCCAAGACCGTGCAACTTGTACAGCCAGTACGGAATGGGCTTCCCATCCCAACC